ACTTCAGTTATACCTAACCTAGGAATACAAATATTTGAATCAGTTTTTCAATACAAGATGGAGTTAAGGCTGGTAAAGTAGGCAAATATAATGAGATCATGCTTTGGATGTCATTGAAGGTTTACTTGAACTCAGTCTGTGGGTGTGTGAAGCTCTGTTTGGAGGTAATTGTAGCATTCACATAATGTGTGAATGCTTTCCTAAATGGAAGTAACATTCTCAACTTTTATGCCATATAACTTCAAGCAAAATCTCAGTTAAGTGTTAGCTCATTTACCTAGGGACTTTAAAAACACACTAATGGAATTTGCTATCTGTCAATTTCTTCATTTGAACTGTTAATACTTTATGATGTCCCTAAACAGTATGTCTGAAATAATGTAAGAAAGAATTAATGCATGTTCTTTCGCACTAAAATATTCCTCTGCTGTGAATAAATCATAGTAGATGGGGAATGCACAGAGTCTATTTGCAATTCCTAGCCTGGAATGCTAGTGGTCTCAGTTTTTAATCACTTTATTCTCCCAGGGTTCTGAACTTTTTAGTCATTTTGCAATTTAGAAAAGCTATTAACTGCACAATTAAATCATGTGCTACTACAAACTGTTAAGTGTATTTAATACAGTTTAACTAATGACTGCCACTGTCCTGTTCTTCTCCCCTTACCACCTAGTGCTTTAGAAAATCCAATAGTTCCAGTGATCCTGTGACCACAAAGTGAGACATAATTTTACCGATCTTAGTGAAAACAAAACATGCTTTTAAAAAAACAAACAAAACAACAGGCTTCTGTTGGACTGATTAGTCTTAAATCAACTCTGAAACTGCATCTAAAGGGATGGAAATGACCAGAGAAAGCAAAGAAAGATTTGAACCTCCTCCCAGATTCCCATGCTGTCTCTCACTTGTCAAAAAGGATCAGATTATTGGGGTTTTTTTCTGATGAAGTTGCTGATATGTACTTGTTATCATCAGTTTGAACTCTAATTCGAAACCTGTGAAAGTAAAATTTCATTGTCACCAATATCTAGCGTTTCTTCAAGGATGTGTTAAGAAGCACCTTCCACAGTTTAGTGTAGGTACACTACAGATACTGAAGATTGGAGAGTAAATGTGTAGGAAATTATCTGTAGAAGCCGTCAGTTGTTGATTCAACAATAATAATTAAAACTGAAAGACTTTCATCTCCCAAATGTAAGAGTCTTATCTTAGTCCTGTGCTGGCAGTAAAAATATTAGTGTTATCAATGCTTATTTTATACCCCACTCATATGTTATCCATTATACCCCAAACATACTTTTTTTTCCTGGTTGAAGTTCAAGATAAAGCGCATACTGTTCTGGTTGCTATTCTCCTGAATAACCCTAGCACAATTGCTGAGCGTGGAGGTCCTTTCTTTGATCTCTGCACAAGGCTTTCCCCCTTTGTTAGAATACCAGGAGGCTTGGATTTGGCCCAGAGATTGGTAGTGAATAGAGTTACATCCTGTTGTTGTCTGGTCACCAGTGATGTTTCCCAGGGCTCAGCATTGGGGCCAGTCCTGTTTAGTATCTTCACTGATGATCTAGATGAGGGGATCAAGTGCACTCAGTCAGTTTGCAGGTGACACCAAGTTGGGTTGGAGTATCGATCTGCTGAAGGGTAGGAAGGTTCTGCAGAGGCATCTGAACAGGTTGGAATGGTCTGAGGCCAATGGAATGAGGTTCAACAAGGCCAAGTGCTGGGTCACAACAACCCTAGGCAGTGCTACAGGCTGGAGGAGTGGCTGGCAAACTGCCTAGGGGAAAATGACCCGGAGATGCTGTTTGACAGTGGCTGAACAAGAGCCAGCAGTGTGCCCAGGTGGCCAAGGCGGCCAAGGGCATCATGGCCTGTACCAGAAATAGTGTGACCAGCAGGACCAGGGAAGCGATTGTCCCTCTGTGCTCAGCACTGGTGAGGCCACAGCTCAAATCCTGCTCTGAGCCTCTCAAGTAAAGAAGGACACTGATGTGCTGGCGTGTGTCCAGAGAAGGGCAACAGAGCTGGTGAAAGGTCTAGAGAGTAAATCCTGTGAGGAGTGGCTGAGGGAGCTGGGATTGTTTAAGCCTGGAGAAAAAGAGGCTTGAGGGACACCTTATTGCTCTCTACAATTACCTGAAAGGAGGATGTATCCAGGTGTGGGTTGAGTGATGTGACAAGAGGAAATGGCCTCAAGTTGCACCAAGGGAGGTTTAGATTGGATGTTGGGAAAAATTTCTTCACTGAGGGTTGTCAAGCACTGGAATAGGCTGCCCAGGGAAGTGGTAGAGTCAGAATCCCTGGAGGTCTTTAAAGGACTTGTAGACCGGGTACTTAAAAGACATGGTGTAGTGCTGGACTTGGCAGTGCTGGGTTAATGGTTGGACTCAATGATCTGAAGGGTCTATGCTTCCAAATGTACAGTTGTCTCACTTTGACATTGAATATAGTCTGTAGTTCAGCTTGAGGCTTTAGGGTTGTGAGTGTTGTGAGTTGTGAGTGTTTCACATTGCCTGGTAACTGCTCTCCATGTGCGGGATGATTAATAGAATTTGAAACAACAATTCTTCTGCACCAAGAAGCCCGCACATTTTTGTTTTGCAGTCTTCTGGCTCATACATAATACTTTGCTTTCCTTTCCCTTCCTTTCCGTGGTAATGTGGCAATCTTGCAATATTACATGTTCTTGGTGTCTTAGTAGGCCCCTGTGACTACACATTCTGACAAAGTAGACTTCATCAACTTAATTTTGATGAATTTCAATTCATTAAACTTATTTCCTTGTGTATCATCATCATCCTTTTTCTGGAACAATTATTTCCTACCAGATCTTAACAGATTGCAATAAAATATATGACAAGACAAGACCACATTAATACTTCTACTACAGGGTTATGAAGCAGGTGATTCAATATAAAGACTTTAATCAGATTTAAATTAAAAGTGGTTATATAAGAGGCATACGTTGTGTTATAATTAGTTGGAACTGGGCTCCAAGTATGTTTCTAAGAAGTCTTTAAAAAACCTGTTAGAAATGTGAATTTTCAGGCTGTTTCTGTGCAACAGTTATTAATGAGTTAAATACAGTTTCAAACTCTGTATTCCTGTTGAGTTCGGTATTCTGCAGTTGAGTTCATGACGTGCATGTCTGTTAGCAGTCAAGGCAGGGATGCTGAAGACTGAATCAATGAGGATTGAATTATCCTCCCCGTGTTAGAGGAAGCTTCTTCAGTGCAGGGTTGTGACTCACCGTGATTTAAGAATTTTGCTTTCAAGTTGCCAGTCCTGTAGGCAAGAGAGGAATTCATTTACCACTAGTCTCGATTTAGCATCCTGAATTTTTAGTTTAGATAAGTGACTGCCACAAAGGTTTGTGGAAAGAGAAGTAAGGAAATTAAAGTACTTCACTTACTACTGCAGAAGAAATCCAGGAGTTTGCTATGGATTCTGTAAAACACTGAGAGAACTGTCATCAAGTACTAAAACTTCTCTTCACATATCTTCTCATTTTTTTATTTTCAGTATCTTTTGAAATTGTAATAAAAACCACTACAAAATTACCACCTTGATTCATTGTTACTTCTTTCCTCCCTCCCCCTGGCCTCCTACCTCTATTGAAGACACTTTTATGGATTCTTTTACTACAACTGAGTTTTGACCAAGGCGTGCAGCAAAGGGTTGAAGTTACCCTTGCATGGTTTTCTGAAGACCTGTGTCTTATTTTAATCTCTACTATTTTTCCATTCACTTTTGATCACTTTGCTACTACCATCTATAATTTAAAAAAATACGTTTGTCTGTAAAGTAATTATGTCTTTTAAAAAACCAGCATTTGGGTATATGGATTAAGTAATTTAAACTGTTGTGTAGGGTTGGATATTCTTTAGATATTGACAGAGATTTCAAAGGCAGGCAAGAAGACCTATGTGTAGAGTCGATATCTGGTACCAACAAGCCCATTGTAACATGAATTGCTCCAGCTACCCAGTTAAGTTCTTTGTCGCAATGAGATGCTTTGGTGACAAATTGAGATGGAAGAATTTAGGAGTGCAGACATACAAGTTGGGGAAGTCAGTAGCTTATTTCTTAAGAAAAGTTTTTTAACATTGAGTACTCTCAATATTGGTAATCCAGACCACAGCTTCCGAGATCTGACACTCCTTTTTAATCTAATCTTGATGGTTTCCATCTTAGTTTTCTTTAAGTTTATGGACTTTAAATGAAAATTAAATTTAAGCATAATGAAACCCTTTAACTGTATTCTTTATCCATTTTTGTATCAACATCAGAAATGTTAAGATTTGTTGTAATTCATCATGTTTGTGTAAGATGTGTTCCTTTATATTCTTTTATTTAGTTCTGTGGAGTAAATAAAAGGCCCAATTTACTAGTATCTCAAATTTAATGAATTCTTTCAAGATGGTGTATTGTTTTTTTAAGTGACGTTATGCGGATAATTCATAATTTTATTTAAACAGCTCAAAGATTTGTACTTCATCAGAGAAGACCAGGCTCAAGATACCTTTTACCCACCTAATTTTTTAAAATAAACAAACCCTGTCCCTTTTTTTCAGATTTGCTATTTTTACAAATAGTTTATATATTACTAGAAAGGGAAGAATGCACATATTCGCCTTGTTTTCAAAAAAAGAGGGAATTGTAAGCAACAGACCATTTTCAGAAGTGTCACTTTCAACTCTTAGGCTTTAAGTCCAAAAAATACCAATATGCATACCTTAAATAGTTTATAGAATAATAATAAAGATATTTCATTTGGCAGTTCATCTTATTTCTAAGGAAAGTTTGTATATGTTGTTAATCTGTTTTCATGTCACTACATCTACTGCTTTGAACAAATGGGTAGAAAAGCCAATAGCTAATTTCAAAAAAATTGTATAAATCTTGCATGCAGTTGTGATGTTGTATGTTACCTCCTTAGTGAATAAAACAAGTCGATTCAAAGATTCTCTGTATGCCTTTGTCATTTTGTCTTTTGGTAGGCTGATGAGGTGGTGGATGAATATAATGAGAATAATTTTTATGAATCTGATGAAGAACAGAAGGAGAAGGATCAGAAATTGAAAAGCACCTATACCATGGACCCAGATCACAGACTGCTGTTACGAAATACAAAGCCCTTGCTTCAAAGCCGAAATGCTGCTGTATGACAAATTGCTTTTTCATTAAAATGTTAAACTACTAAGTATCTATGTTTTTAGAAAATTTAGGAAATTAAAAAGTAAAATCTACATCTCTTTACAAGTGTGATAATACTCTTTAGTAACTTTAGGAGAAGCTATTTCAAATTTGACTTAGCTTGTAAGCAAACGTGTACACTGATTGCGGTACATGCTCCAAATAATATGGATTAGCAAAAAATGTGAGAACATTTGAATCCAACTTAAATAGCATGTGATGACTATACCATAGCTAGCTTTTAAAGCTAAAGCCTTCAGCAACTAGGATGGCACAAACTGTTTTAGTGGTACAGATATACCAAGAAAATCATACTTATTATTGATTCATTAATTTGTTCTTTCTTTTGAGTCTCACATTTTAAAAGTAGACAATATACACCTTGAATTATTTTGTCAATCCAAGCCAGATTCATAGTGGTGTTGCCTTGGTGGGATTGCAGGATAGATACAACATCATGACTGTTGTTTGATCTACATTATTTCCATGAAATTTTAAAATACGGGTAAATTTTTAGAAAGAGAAAAAGCTATGCTGATGGTGAATTATTGTGATGTTAATCAGATCACAGAATGTTATTTCTAACCTCAGCTTGTCCTGTCTTCAGGGAAAAGTCTTCCAGTGATAGTGAGTATTCATATCACTGCAAAAACAGTTACTGCACCATGATTAAGTCACCTTGCAATTATTCCTGATAAACTAAGCAGATCAGGTTTTAGTTCTCCGTTGGAAAATACTTCTAGATTCCTAATGTCTGACTCCTCAAAATCACTTATAATCTGTGAGCAGACTTTGGAAACAAATTGATTAAGTTTTTAGAACTTTTTGCTAGAAATCACTGTTTGATGACTATGATATTTCCTAATTTCGCATAAAGAACAGGTGCATTTGATATGTTTTCCATCATACTTCGCTGAGAACAGGTTCAGTTACTTTTTGCTCACATTCCATAATTTTCTTATCACTGTTAAATATGGTCTTGGTTCTCATATTTATGATCTTTAACTTCCAATATAACAGTTAGATATTTAGTGCATTTTGAGAAGTGAAATCATGCTTCTTTCAGTTGCTTTGAATTGTTACACGGATATTCATACGTGTGTAACAATTCATACTATTCAAATACAGAATTTACTTGCAATTAAATTAATTGCTTTCTTTGTGACTGTACATTTTTCTTTGTAATAAAAGATACCTGTATTATATTGCTAAAAATATTTTGGTTATTTCCTGGTTTCAGATTTTTTAATCACTTTTTATTGCTTAATAATAATTTCTGTTTTTTTAATACTAAGATTTAAGATACCGGGTGAAGTGTCATCATGATGGCTTTACTTGGAGTCTCCTTTCTATGATTTGTTTGAAACAGAGAGTTATCATGACAGTATTGTAGGAAAGGTTGTGACATGACGTATTCGTTAGCATAAAGGTCATATTTTGTCTTTTACTTATGAGAAAACTTAAAAAGAAAAAATAGTATGAAAAAAAATAAAAGTGCATTTCACAGCAATTTCCAGTCTTGGCTCATAGGCAACATAAGCTGCTTATATATCTGTCTTTTGCTTTTTGCTAGCCAGGATATTGGTATACAACCCTGTAGTGTTTACTTTTTTTGGATTTGATACTTTAAAAGTTGCCAGTAAAGGCAGCTGTTGTTTTATAAATTACATAATAGAATAATGGAGTGAAATATTTAAGTGGAAAGTAGATAATAGATAATGAGGGATTTTGAACTTGTATTAATAAAGTCAAAGCACAACATTAGCAGAATTTTTGAAGAATATTTCTTCATTAATTTGTACAGCCGATGGTAACAATACTGTCTTGTCAGGGATGATATTGGTATCTTTACAATTTGAATTATGTACTTTTTTCCCTCTCATTGTGCCTCTTCCTACGACCTTCTATTTATTATGGCATACGATAAATACTGGGAAGAAGTGAAGGTACTTAATTAGTAAAAATATATTAATTCTGGTGTTCTTCCTCAGTCTGATTTGTTGATCTCGAAGACTGCAGATAGGCACTTTGCTTTCTGAAAAAGAGTGAGTTGGTAGTTCTGCAGGTCTGTAGCAAATATGATAGATATGTATGAACAATTTGAAGTTAACATGTTGGTTTGAATGTTCTTCTTTTAGGTGGTAATGGCAGTTGCACAACTTTACTGGCATTTGGCACCAAAATCAGAAGCTGGTATTGTTTCTAAGTCATTGGTGCGTTTACTCCGTAGTAATAGGTAGGTCAAGTCCGTACTTAACATTACTAATTTTTTGTGAGAACTTCTGTGCATACTTGTTTAGCCATAGTTGTAAGAAAGCAACTGTTTCACTATTGGTTTAATTTTAAAATTGTCCTGTAATACTCATTTTTACTCAGAAAATTAGGATCATTGAAAGTAATTCCATCATTTTCGTTACCACATCCAGGATCCTTCAATATTGTATTTCATTCCTGTGACTTTCATTCTGACAAGAATCATGACTGCCTTGTTAGTATTGAAATAGAGGCAGTACCAATTGGTTTGCTTATGGTCTTTTTTTTAATTATTGGAATTTATTGGAAATTTACTTCCACCAATTTACTGCATAGAAATAGGTTTTCCCTGCTCAGTTTTTGGATTTTGAACTTCCATGTATATATGAGACACTATTAAGATGTTTTCAGAATAACTTTCTAACTATACCTGGTATTTTTGTTTAGAACTTCGCTATGAGAATAATTTACGTTTTAAATTTGTTGTTTGTGTCAACCATACACCAGGGTTTTTTTTTAAAAGTCACTTTTGTTATGCCTGGTAAGATTACTCAGAGGTACTTTAAATTTTGTAAGCTCTGTCATCATAGAGCTCTTTCTCTGTAAACTTCTGCAGCTTACTCATGGCTAATATCTTTGTCATTTAAAAATTAATAAAGAAGAAATTGGTTACATTTTCATGCTTTTATTTCAGGTAAGAATGAATCACTGTTATTTTAGTGTTTTGTTTTATAGTTCTCTATGCTTCCCATTCTCTGTACAAAGATAACTAAAATGGCTAAAGCAATTTGGTATATGGACAGATAGAGTTAAACTCATTCTCACAAGTAATATACTCATTTATACTCAAGTGTCATTAAAAGAGAAGTCACTTCTCTCCCTCAGCTAGTGCCTAAAATGTCACTAGTCCTCTGATTTTCCTATGTTGAATGGCTTGTCTGTTCTCTGTTACCATTCTGGGTGAAACACTTCTGCTATTAGAGCCACTTTGAAATAGCTTTTGCTGTTTGCCCTTGAAGTTATGTGCCTATGGCCTTTAAATTAATGTCAACTAAACTATAATCTAGTTAGGGTGAGAGTACCTGAAAGAGCATTTCATAGCAATTTCCAATCTTGGTTCATCACATGCAGCTGATTATTTCCATGTACCTATGTAAGAATTACACAAAATAGGTTTAAAAGATATTAAGTACATCTCTATTATTACTTTTCTTTGTAAGCAACAGTTGTAATTACCTTAGAGCTATTGAGTAAGAGGAGATAATGGGCATGATGATTTCTCTATTAGGATGTATTTGCAGCATGCAGGGTTTGAGCACTTATGGTTCAGAAAAATGGTATGTAAATCATTGTTTAGTTTTTAAGCAATTGGTGGCACAAACTCTGCAGTTTAAAAGCTTTAGACTGGTACTCAAATGTCTTTTTTCTCACTCCTGCTGAGGTTTTGAACTAATACATGAATTATGAGAATGCCCTCCAATCATGTTTAAAGTTTTTGTGTTAAGAATATTGCATAAATCTGTTGTCTGTATCTTAGGAAGACTATTATGTAAAAGTGCTACTTTTTGATAGATGTGTATGCTTGCCAGTGTAAACCCTTAAGTCACAGGAGACCCTAGCCCTTTTTGAGAATTTTTAGAAAAATTTTTTAAGACCAGAAAAGTCATAGCAATTCTTGCTAATTGTGCAAGGATTAACTGTTCTTGTAATTAATGCAGTCATTTCAACACTGCGGAAAAAGGCAGTTTGTTTTTGTTCTCCAACTGTATCATCCTGAAATATTTGTTCCAAGAAGGTGGTTGAAATGTAGGGTTTTTGTAAGTGATTTTCATGATATTAAAATGATCAATGGATTTCTGGTTTAAATAAATACCCAAGGTCCACAAGAGGCACCATTACGCTGATGTGAGTGAATATTTTTGCATATTGGCATTTTAAAAAATAAAAACCTGGTTTCATGTGTCTTCTTGTGAAGCAGATGATAAACTTGTAGCAGTTGTCTTCAGTGTTTGTGCCAAAACAAATGTATAACTGACTTGGCATTCAAATAAAATTGGACTTTCTTTGCCATGTTTCATTTTTCTATATATCTTTAATTTTGTGGAATGACTCTTATTTTTTTTTTCACATTCTAGGGAGGTGCAGTATATTGTTCTGCAAAATATTGCCACTATGTCAATTCAGAGAAAGGTATACCCTATTTAGAATTTTCTAAATCATATTGTATTTGAAACACAGGAGAGCTACATAAATATGTTCTGATTTTCAGGGTATGTTTGAACCTTTTCTGAAGAGTTTCTATGTTAGATCAACTGATCCAACTATGATCAAAATACTGAAGGTGAGTTTAAAAACAAATTCATCTGTATAGTGCTGGACTAATCAGTTTTCAACAGGAAGGTAAAATCCTTTTCACTGATATGACACAGCTCATTCTGTTTGCTTTCTTTTCTTTGCTAAGAAATATAGAGTTGTGGCGCTTAGTTTAAGTCCACCAGTGTCCTTTGGGCTTGTCAGGCTGCCTGAAAGTTCTCGTTACCGTATTGCAGGTGGCAGATGGGCTGTGTTTTCTACTACGGTGTTTAAGACTTTTCAGTGACAGAGAGCACTACAATTTTTATCCAGCTATCCAATCTAACATTCTCGAGTTTGACTGTTTTCATGCGAGGAAGAGAGTCTTTAATACTGTTAGCTTAAATGGAGTTTAAGTCTTTCCCCTGTACAAAATGGGGCAGTGTTAGAGTCCCAAATTCCCTTTGAAGTCAACATTCGACATGAGAAGTACTTTAGGCTTTCCTCAAGGTCACATCTCAGTGCATGTTTTTTGACTGTTGTCTTCTTGTTTTCTCTGTTCTTATTCTTTAACAAATGTGAAATCCTTGACAAAACAATAGCTAAAAAATTCTCTACTATTATGTGCCTTTTCTCTTGTTTTCCTTTAGGTTGTCTTAGGCACTTCTGTTTAGGAGTGGAAGGTACAGTTTCTAAAAGAAACATTATTTTTTTCTTATCTTCATTTTACATGCATGTTGCACCCTCATTATATGTTCAAGAGGGGTACAGTCCAAGATGGCTATGCCAACCCCCTCGTGTTTTTATATGTACAATGTTAAGTCTAAGTAAATTTGAGGCAAAAAATATTCTTCACATTTAATGATTATGATAACTGTCAGGAAAGCTGTCAGGAATGCCTTACTGTTATCCAAGAAAATTCAGTCCCAAAATAATTGAAGTTGATCCATTTAAATTTCCATATTAATTGATAATACAACGTGGAATGTGTGGAGAAGTAGAAATTGGCATTTTTCCTTTCGTTGTGTCATTTGTTTCTTGATGGCTGAAAAATTTAGGACAACCTGAACTGTTATGTGCGTAAGAAAATCTTGTGGATTTCTCCATCTCCTACCTTCGTAGTTCCAGCATATCAGCTATAAGACATAATGATGAGACCCATGGCAGTATTTAAGATGTAGGGGCACCCTGGAATTCATCTGCCGTGCTGTTTAGATTTCTATTTTGTTCCTTTTTTCTTCCCCAACATCAAGTTTGCCTTTTTGATCACTGGTTAGCATTGAGCTTATGTCTTCGCAGATATTTTAATCTCAATTTCTCAGTTATATTTAGTTGTAATCATCTCAGAGCCTGTCATTTTCTTTACAGGTCAGGTTTGTACACAATTGTGAACATTACTTTGCAGATACATGTGCTGAAATTTCTTTTGCCATTTTTTTAACCAGTCCCCTACTACTTGGACCTTTTATGCAGCTTTTCTTAGTCAGCCTTTGTCTTCATTTCATGGAAAACTATTGCATCAGTTAAAACTTTGTCACCTATCTTCTCATTACTTTCATAATTCATATATGAAAAAGGCTAGCAGAGATATTTGTGATATTCCATTGATAGCCATCCTGTACTATAAAATAGTCTCCTTTTTTCCTACCTGTTAATCTTTTTCATTTATCCTCTTGCTTTCTATGCTGTACTAGTTATTTATCTTTAAGAGCCTTAGGTTATAGATCTCACCAAACTGTTTTTGAAGTTCTGGTGGACTGTATCAATTAAGTATCCTTTTCTGGGTGCCTCCAACTGAAAAAATACCACCAGATTACTGAGTATGATTTCTCTTTGGAGAGACAGGGTTGTCTTTTCAGTTTACTTTATTCAAAGGTAAAACAGTCTGCAAGTATAGAATCTTAACAATATATGTCAAGTGTTGTATATCATCCTTTTGTTCATCAGGAACAAAGAAGAGAGTTTTCACAGTCTGATGTTGTTGATGTTGATTAAGATATGAGGAATCTCATAGATGCAAGTGTTTCTTTACTGAGTTTAAGGGTCTTTTTTTACAGTTCATCTGAATATAAGAAACAATTTATCTTTCCCCATCAGCAGTTGTGACTTCCATTATTTCTTCTTACACTTGCTAGTTGTCACATGCTAAGGCCTGTTGTGCAACATTGGAAAGCATGCTGACAGAAGTATTTCAAGTCCATTTGATACACAGTGCAACACTAAAGCTAGAGCTTATAGAAAATGCATCACTGAACCCTACCGTCCTGCTTTGAAAACTTTGTGAATACTAGCAAGGAAAATACTCCTCTTGAGTGCAATGCTGGTGCCAATTTATACTGACAGTGGTATACTCTGTTGAATTTGGAATGGTATTTTTAATAGTAGTATCTCTTACTTACGTACAATGAAAGTATAGTGTGCATGCTGTACTGTTTATAATATTTTCGCTCTTGATAAAATATCTAGTTTTTTTTTCTTGTAGCTTGAAATCTTGACAAATTTAGCAAACGAAGCCAACATATCAACTCTGCTTCGAGAATTTCAGGTTTGTAGAGAAGTATACTCTTTTAATGTGAAATGCTCTCTTTTGCTGTTATTGAATGTTTCTTTTAGATTCTTAGGCTTAAATTTTTCAAGTTAAAGTCTTTTCCAGGATAAAATGTTCTCAAAATGGAAATATTGTGATGGATAATGGAACTTTTTGTATATGGAGAGGAGTTTCAACGTTTTGTTTCTCACTCTCTTTCCAACTACCAAAAAAAATTGGGTGGTGGCAAAAACTCAAGCATTCTATATTCTGCAAAACAAATTCTACCAACTTGACTGACACTGTACGTCACTATATGATAGGATCTTAATTTTAGCAGTATTTGACCATCAGCATTTATGGCTGAACCTCACTTCCATAAGTCATTTGATGAAATAGTATTGTCTCCATTATCTTTGTGTATCAGCAAGATTCTGCCTATATTGTGAAACGGTGTCTGTCCTTCTTTCTTTCCTCTTTGCTTATGACATCTGTTTTCATTGCTTCAGTTCTCTGGCTGGATTTCTCTGAAAGGTACTGGTTCTCAGGCAGGTAGGTTATTCGTAGTTTCACAGATGCCCCTAGTTAAATGAACTGAAACCTCTCTGAAGAGAGAGCTCATTGACTCCGCCAACCTTGCACACAAACTAATTGCTGGTTTTGGTAAATTGCCCCCTGCCCCAAGCTTCTTGAAATCATAGGTTTGCATGACCATGAGCAACCAAAGCTGGCAAGGAAATACCTTCTGAAAGTGACAATAAGGTGAAAAAAGTATGACTACTAATGTGCAATGTAGCCTTCTAGGTTGAATTTATTGTACAATATGTCTGTCCTATGAGGATAGTATGGTAAGTCTTTGTTTGACAAGAGTTATGCATTGACTAATGAAAATCCTTTTTCCTTAGACTTACGTGAAAAGCCAAGATAAACAGTTTGCTGCAGCTACAATTCAGGCTATAGGCAGATGCGCAACTAACATCACCGAAGTGACTGACACATGCCTCAATGGCCTTGTATGTTTGCTGTCCAACAGGGATGGTAAGCTAAATGTTCTGTTTATTTTCTCAGTAGCTGATGGCATGAAACCTTTTCTTAATGAGAACCACACAGAGCAGAACATGTTAAAAACCATGTTAGGATTGACTTTTGTGAGAATTTAGCTAACAAGACTGGATAAAAATAGTGATTCTGGACTTCCAAAGGGTCTCATATTCACTGGGTACATATTTTCTCTTTTGTTAGTGAAATTAATTCCTTATGGCCTGCGCTTACATGTTTACCTACTTTTTTTTTTAAATGCTATACTTACTAAAGTGTGCTGTTTTGATTATCATTGATAGCAGTAGTTTTACTGTTATATGTTTAGTTGCATCAAAGCAGTAAGCCTGTAGAGGGTGCTGAAAGCTTGGAATTTTTTTTTTTGTTGCATCAATGCCTAACTTAAAAAAACCTGTATTAAATACTTTTAGGATAAATAGCCCCAAATTTGGCTTGCTTTTGTAATGTAACTTTCTGTTATTTTTATATAGTGAAACAGAGTTGCAAATCACTAAGGAACCCAAGAAGGAGCAGATAAAGTCATAGGATACAGCACCACTATAAATCAACACCTGATAATACTGTATAATCTTGCTAGTTGCCAATGAATATTGAAGATGATAAGTCAAGTAGAGAACTGGAAGATGATTATATAATGTACAGTTTATGTGAATGTAGTTAAATATTGTAAATAGAGTTAGGAAATATATGGTTTAAAAATAATATCAGGAAGGAGGAAAAGCATGTGCTTTTTTGGGGTGCCCTGGAGTAACTAGAATTGTTCAGAGAACATAAGTGAGATCTTCTCTAAGCTTTGAAAAGCAGCATTAGTGCCTCTCCATATCTACTGGATATAGTTTCATGGTAATCATAAGAAAACCTTTATTGGAGACATCACCTTGGCAGCACGTAGTCATCCTGTGCCCCACTAATACACTCAGAGCTTTCTCTTACTTGGTTTACGACCTGTGAATCCTCATTCTCAACCGCCTCACCTTGTATCAGAAATTCCTGAGAGGCCTCAGTGCTTTGTAGTTTTAATATATGTAACTTTAATTTCCTAGTGCTCTAGACTTTGTTTACATTTAAGCTTTTCTGATTATCAACCGTGTTTAAAATATCTTCCCGTGTTGTGCTACAAGGCGTCTGCACAGCGCATCTTTTTGTATTACATTCAGCAATTACCATAGTAAAAATACAAGCTTTAAAGCTTGTTCTTGATTTGTTTAATTCTACTAGCAATCTTCCTCTAAGTGGGAAGGCTCCTTTCAGCATGTACAAATCCCCATTTTACATCTGCTTTAAATTAAATAATAAAACTATCACTTCAGAATACCGAGTTTGTTACTTAATAATCCTTTTTTCTATTTTCTTGCTTTGTTTTGCTTTTTGCTAAGAAGAAACAAAGATAAGAGGAAAAGGGTTTGTTTTCTTTTATCATAGATTGTCAATTTAATATTTTCTTCAAAGTAATTCTATGTATATACACACACACACATGCACGTCCATGTATACAAAGCTCTGTCTCAACAAGGTTAGTTTTCTTGTCTGTTTCTAAGTAGTTGTCTAGCAAATAAAATTATCTTCTTGTGCTTACTGTTCTGAAAGACTGCAAAGGATATATTTAGGATCTTTTAAACCTGGCAGCTGGCAAATTGCTTTACCATAGTTGCAGTGTCTTTATTCCTTCTTTCATGGAATGACATAATTTACGTGGTACCTTTCCCTAGGTGACAGGAAATTACCAATAGTCTCAGCTTACTGAATATACGAGTTTTGGCATGGTAAGGGAACAAAAAGAGATTTAACCTGTGTAGCAGTCTTGGTTAATCTTGCTTTCCCCAAACTTTCAACCTTGAAGTATACAGGCAATCTGTTTGCTGTGCAACTTCTTTCGTGGTCATTCGAAGCCTGGAATTAATTCTGCTGCTTTGCATAGCATGAAGCACAAGCTAGTAGATCCAGCAGGTTCTGAGGTCCATGAAAGCAGAGTCAGAGAGGTGACCAGACTAATTCTACCAAACCAAAATAGAATGCCAAAGAACAGGCTTTTGGCTAAACTGCCTTCTAATTCTATGCTCTTGTTCTGGAATGGCCTTAACTGTAGATATAACCCAACACCCGAGATATCCTGGCTATAACTGACACAGCAACTGTACAATTCATCATTCTGGAACTTGTGTGTTGAGAGGCAGAGTGTCGTTCCAGAAACGAGACTCTGGGGAAGGCAAGAGCTGCTCTTGAAATTTTCTTTGCATATTTATGAGTGCTTATTTGAAGTCAGATTTCCCCTACTCAGGAAAGCTGTGAGCAATGGGAAAAAAAAAAAACCAACAACATTTGAACTACAGAAGCACAACAGAAACAAGAAAGTTCAATGATGAGACACTGAAAAAGCTTTGTGAAGAGCTATCCCACCTGGACCTGACTGACTCCTCAAGACACTGTTCTGTGTGAAGCTGTGTTGAGGGCTGAGAGTTATTTTTCTTCCTCATCTGCTGAAGGAAGTACAGAAAGAAAAGTTGTTTTGGTTCCTCGATGTGACATTTGGCATTTGACTATTGCATTTTCCTTAAGCAATTGCATTGGTAATTTCAACTGACCACTGACCGCACTGTGGCATAAAAGTCATTTTAGATGTAAGAGACAGATGGGATTATTGGAAGTCTCTTTTTTCTGTCTGTATATACTATATATAACTATATTCTGCAGGTTTTTCTTAAATGAGTGACTTTCATTTTCTGTTGAAAGTTGCAGGTTGGATGTAAACACAGTTGTAGGATGTATAGCTAAAACTTTTTTTTCCCCTATGAATCTATACAAACCCAGGAAAGTTACAAAATCACTGGAACTGTTAATGCATCAGGTAACTACTACATATCTAATGTAATTACTGCTAGAATGACATAAAAGAAAAGCAACTCCTTATAGCATTCAGTTTATATGTATTAATGAGGTTTCTGAGTTTTGTTATTTGTAAGGATGCAAAAGTTAACCAGACTAAACTTTGTGTCCTTCTGAAAAGCAGAAACTTCAGGTTTACCTGAATACTTAGTAATTGCCTTTTAACATTGTTTTTAACCATTTGCATAACCTTGTAATAACCCAAATAATTACAGAATTGTTTGGGTATAGAAGGGACCTTTAAAGATCAGCTAGTCCAACTCCCCTACCATGGGCAAGGATACCTTCCATTAGACCTGGTGGCTCAGAGCTCTGTCTAATCTAACCTTGAATGTTTCCAGGGATTGGGCATCACCACCAGTCTGGGTAACCTGTTCCTGGACTGATACTGATGTGACCCTGTAGATATAATTTTCGCTGTTTTGAGATTCTTGTGTTTATTTATTTTTGTCTTCTACGCACTTTTTCTTTGATAGTTCTGGTAAATTTACATTTTAAAATTTTCTTGCTGCTCATTCATAATGCCTTTTAGTGTTTTGTTAGAGTTTGTTTGGGTTTTGAACCTATATGCCTGTCTTTTATTTCATGCTCGTTTTGGGGATTCTTCATGTGCGCAAAGCAAGCCTCCAGGATTCTCTCTGTTTTTTCTGGACTGTGCAAGCCCTTATTCTAAAACAAACTCATTTTGATTTTGTTGATACTTTCTTTCCTGGTATTTAGAGTAGTGTAAAAGAACCGTACTGGTTTATTTGTTCACAATTCTGGTTTATTTTCTTTAAATTTGCTCCCACAGATTGCATTAAAGTAGTTCCTGTTGTGACATTTTATTCAGTGTAGTTCATTTTATCATAATCAGTTCTACATTGTCAACAAGTGTTTTTAGTAATGACTTCAAATCCACTTAGGTTTTTGGGTTCAGTTTTATTTTTCTGAACTGTTCAGTGTATCACAAAATACTTACTGATAAATGTTGTTGTTACAGTGTTCCCCACTATATATATTCCAGATCGTAATTTTCAAGAATTGTCTTCTTATTTTAGTATCTGGCAAAACACAGTTTAAATTAAATTCATCTGTAGGATTACACAAGACCTTGAGATATATGATGCAGACATGTTAACCTTGCTTCAAGGAATTAGTTTAGAAAATGAAAGATGTCATGTCAAATAAAGGATGACACAAAAAGCTGCAAGCTGAAATTTAAGCGTTTCATAGGCTTATGGCGTAATGATGCATACTCAGAGCTTTTGAAAAACCTGTCTCCATAAAGAAGTTCACTTTCTCAAAAAAACAAACAAGCAAACAAACGCCAAAATTTAGGCGTTTCTTCCCTATGCTGTTCTATTGAAACTTGACCATCCTTGATTTCTGAATGAATGGTCCACGTGTCAGGTTAACTCTTGAAATGTAGGAATATCTCTGTTTAACAAATGGTCATTAGACTTCTTCATCTTTCCTTACAGCAGGAGTTTACTCTTACACCTTTGCACCTGTTGGGTCTTATTAGCTTTAGGTATTTCATACAAGTTGAATAGGCTGTGGGTGTTACTTGTTTACGGTAGTTAAGCACTCTAGTGCATGACTTTGGCATGAATCTCACAACAGCTTTCTATTTAGAAGCTTCATTTGAATGTACGAGAGATTAAGTTACAGACCTGAGGGACTGTTTAGAATGTGAAAAAGTGCAAAGGAAATGTTTAATTATTTCTCTAGCATATGAGTGATCTGTTACTTTTAATGTTGAATATTTCTTTGAAAATTCAACGAGTGTTTGTATTTTTAGTTCAGACTGCAAATTTCTTACAAATATGCATAATTTTAATGAAAAACAAATGTTTTTTCACACTGTTCCTTGGTTTGAGAAGGAAAAATACAAAGTGCATCTTCACTAAAAGGCAGTTTCATAAAAAGTATGTAGTAGGATAATATTTTTACATTTAGAATGTTTCTCTGTCCTCTTTTTGCTGCATATAAATTGTTTCAGGAAGCTGAACTTATGATACTTAGAACAGTTTACCTCTTTGTACCAGGTAAATGGAATTCAGTTCTACAAAGCATGTTTTAAAAGCTTTTACATGTTTTGCAATCAATTATTTGCGACTTTTTCTTTTGCATAAATGATTTTAAAATTAATAATTTGTTTTGTCTAATACAGAAATTGTAGTTGCTGAAAGTGTTGTTGTCATTAAGAAACTGCTGCAAACCCAACCAGCACACCATAGTGAAATTATTAAGCACATGGCCAAACTCTTGGATAACATTACAGTGAGTATTTGTTCACACTGTCTTATTTTCCTTTTTGACAGATAGTGAAATTTTTATGTCCTTTGAATTTGTGCTACAAATGGAAATAAGTGTATTAGAGAAATACAACATAGTTTTTAATTTTTAACATAAAATATGGTGTTATGTGATCTTAAAGAAAAGGAAATAGAAACTGTCAGGTGGCATCTATTTGTGCCTTAGATCTGGGAAGTGATTTTTTGAAAGAGATCCCTGGAAATGTTGAGTATGTCAACATTTATGAGTATGTTATGCCAAGATGAATAGCAGGTTTAGAATGTGGAGTGCGTAAGTTGCAATGAAAGTAAGGACAAAGAAGCAGCTAACTTTAGGATTATCAACCAGTTGTTAGTGATCTGGAGTGGAGTTTAAAAAATTTTATTTTAAACCTTTTTCCCCAAAACACCTGAGCTTTCCATGATATCAGACATGCTGCTGTGAATGTGTCTTGAAGTTGCATTTTTATCTCCTGTGAGATTCTGTGGTATTTAGCAGTAAAATTTGCATTATTTGGTATCATCTGTCTTTAGATTTAATTGACCTTTAGGTATGCAAATAGCTATTGGCCAGATTCTCCACACAGTCCCAGTAATTGGTACAACATTTAGTAGTCTATCCTAAATTAGAATATAGGGCTGATGACCGTTAGCTACCTATTGCATCATAAACCAAAGGTGACAGATTTTATCTGTCAATAATTATTTTTTTGTAGAGCCTCTAAACAGGACTATTTAGTTTCATCAAATTACACATTTATTGATGATGGAGCAATTTCTAAATCAGTCAATCTTCATTTCTCAGTAGTTGAATTTGGAAAACTTTGGAATATTAAAAGAAAAAGGAAGTGGTTCTTGGAAAAAATTCTTGGTTCATGTTACTGACAAATCAAATGAATCTTTGGCTCCTAACAGCTAATGATCAAACTCTTTAACTGATGTAAAGAAAAGAAATTCTACTGAATTGTTCATATAAAAAGAGGATATAAGATAATGCTGCTAATTACATATCAAAATAAGTATTACCTATTTTATAATAATCACCTGTGTTTTCAGAAAATTTGTGCAATATTTTGATTGATTATTACAGTCTCTTAAATAGTGTATGATCTTATTATAGACATCTTCTGTCACTTCACCAAATGAGTTTGTCATCTTATTTCCACGTATTGTACAGACGAAAATAGTTATTTTCTAAATATTCCATTTAACACTTAAAAGAGGTTTGTAGCTCTTTTATACAATCAAAACTTCTAAGTAAATACTTCAAGTTTTAAATAAAGAGAATATTTTTGGAAAAGAAAATCTTTCTTTAGGTTGAATAAGGGGGGGCAGAAAGACATGCTGTACTTGAACTACTTCAGTGTTCTCAGGTTTTCCAGTATGAGGTTGTACAGAATATTAGAAAGTGGTAAGTAGTAGGAGAGCAGTCTGTGGAACAGTCATAGGAATAAATTAAAAATGAAAATCTGATTCTGAATCATACTACTTCTTCGAGAACAAAACAGTGATAGTGATACTGTAGGCTCTCCAAGGTGATTGTTTTATGTGTTGTTTGACACTTTTCCATGGGTTTTTTTAATAACTTCAAGATATATATCTTTCTCAGAATGCTTGAGAATAAATTTCAAAGAAGTTCATATTTATAATTTGAATGCCATATCATTTTTCTGAAATAACCTCCCCCTATTATCTGAAAATGAATGTATTCCTTCACAGAATGGTTTGGGTTGAGAGGGACCTGTAAAGGTCATCTAGTCCAAACCCCCATCCCCTTACTTCTGTAAAGGTTGAGTGTATACATTTAGGAAGGAGAATATAATTACTGAGGATGTGAGTTTGAAATGTCAACATTTAATAAAGTATTACTGGAGTTCCTGAGATCTGCACCTGTACTTTAAACATTGCTCTTGGTAAAAGTGGTTGTGAGTTGATGTAACACAATTGCCTTGAGATTTTTGTGCTGTAAGACACAGACACAAATCAAGGATTCTTGACCATTATAACATTGACATACGGTATATGTACATACATACACACTTGTATACACCCTTACTATGCACAGGGTTTTTTAGTGTTTGGGGTTTTGGGGGGGGGGGGGGTCCTGACCTCTTCTGTTGGGTAAAGTATTAGGATTGAAACTTATGGTACCTACCCTATAGCTGTATGCAGGAGTATACCACTGTCTTTAAAGGACTCTTGCATTTGGATGTAGGAGAAGCAACCAAATGATATGGTCTTGCATGAACTTGACAGAAACTAGAAGATGGGAGAAAATGACCAAAGAAATTATTTGTTGCTTTTTAGAGTTGAAATTAATACTAAGTAATACGTGGCTGAAAGCATGAACAGAATTAAATACTATTAAATCAAAAAACTTTTAAGCAAAAAGTAAACTTTCTGATTGTTCTGTCAGGGTTTAGTTTGGGTAAATGGTAAACAACCCCTAAAATAAACAAAATTGGTGTAAACTCAGTGGAATACCTTAATGGATTGGTGCCTGAATTTCTCTCATTGATACTGTTATAAATTTCACTTGTGTTGGCCTGAGATTGTGATTGGCAATGTCGAAGTGCCTAAAAATCTTTCCTAGCAATGTTTCTTTCAGGTCATGTACTTTACTGACATTCTTGTCTTCATCTTTTTCATCTAGAGAAGTTGTAGTGGGTTGACCCTGGCTGGACACCAGGTACCTACCAAAGCCACTCTATCACTCCCCTCTGCAAATGGACAGGGCAGAGACAATATAATACAGGGTTCATGAGTTAAGAACCAGTAGAGATCACTCACCAATCACTGTCACAGAGAAAACAGACTTGAAGTGGGGATATTAATTGAATTTATTACTAACAGAATCAGTGTGTGATAATGAGAAGTAAAATAAGCTTCTGGAAGTTTCTCACAGAACCACACAAACCCAATACAAGAAACCATTACTGAGCTCTTGTAGACCACTGACTCTCATTTACAGTAAAGATTAAGTCTATTTCATCTTACCCTTTGATTGATTGTTTCTTACATATCTGAAAAGAGTGATTATTTTTGTTCCTTTGCTTTTGTGTGTTTTCATTTGTGCCTTAAACTTTTATTCCAAGTGTGCCCAGCGAAAGATCTGTGATACTTGTTTTGTGTCTGGTATTTGTTGAGTACATAAACCTATGCATAGTACAGCACAGTACAGCTTGATCCAGCTACACTCCAGCTCCTTTCCTCCACACCCTTCAAAAGCTGTAACTAAAAATTGCATGTGTAATGGTGTCCTGAAGATATTAAACAAGACAATAATTGGATCTCTTTAAAATTCTGTTTTTAAAAATCATAAAAACATTTCCATTTAGCTGTTAATGTGTTAATGACATCATCATTGCTTTACCATTTAATGACTTGCTAAGTTGTGGGCCAGAGATCTAAGCAGTGCTAGTTTGTACTAGGTGTTCACTCTATGATAGGCTCATGTGTATAGCTTTTAGAGTGACAGATTAAAAAATACACTTACGGGAAAGGGCCTATTCTTTCCTTGCACTTTTTCTTCTTGCTGTCAGTCTGACATTTCAAATCAACTTCATCCCTCTTTCCATTTCTGATTCCAAGTAAAATTTTAAAAAAATTGCTATCTATGCAAATTTTCTTCTGGATGCAGAGAATTATATCTCATTTGCAATTTGAATATCTCCTCATTTTGTGATATATGGATAATCAGAATTAGTGATTTTAAGCTGTACTTTAGCCTTAGGTGGTTTGTGATTAAGTTGAGAGATGAACTACAATAGTTTTTCAATTGTGCTGCTTAGAGCAATCTGTAAAATCTTTATAATAGCTTTCTCTAACTGCTGAAGGTAACCAGTTTTGCTTTGAGGGGAGGGTCTGGCTGGTTTTTCTTTTTTATTTTTTAATCATTTATTTTTTTTCCTTGAGACGGGTAATGGGTTGAAATGGTAGTAGAAACTGCCTCCTGGTCCTAAAGGCTTAAAAAGTGCACTTAACCACTTGCTCGGGGCATATGGAATAAAACATCAGGCAAAGTAATTTACAATCCTGTTTGCCTTTGAGGATAATGCAGAGCAGGGCTGAATAATGAAAGTATTATTTCCTGCATTTTTGTCAATTCAAGGTCCCTACTTAAGCTGTACTGGAAAAGGCAGTGAAGGTCTAGAAGGGGCTTCATTTCTTGTTTACTGCTTTGAGTGCCCTGGAAACAACAGCTGCAGGATCATGCACTTGATATTTCGTGGTTGAGAACTGGAAAACTTAAACAGGGAGAAAGAAGTCTGAAAATATTGTGTGATTTTGACCCCAAATGAATCCAGTGACACAGAAACATTGGGTTCATCAGTTCGACATACACTTTTCATTAAAATGGCTTCTGCTCAGGGTTTGATTCGAAAAGTCTCTAATTGATATTGATTCTTGTGGTGCAAAATTGTGTTTAATATATATATGGTATTTACATAGTGAGGTAACCACCTTGTTCAAAGGCAGAATCTCATGAGAAATTTCATCTGTCTTCCATTGTCACTATTTTTCAAATTAGACTTTGTTTAGTCTTTTTATTTAACATTCTAAAACTAGTTTATTACTCTGATAATTACATTTTGCAAACTGGGAAAAAACTTGAAGGAGTAATACACTGTGCTTAAATGCACATTATTTAAATATATTTAAATATATTTAATTGTGGTTTTAAAGTGTAGTCCTGAGTTTGACTAGGAAAAGTACAATAGGGATGTTAGTGTTTCATAATTAATGATGTTCCTAAAATTGGTCTACACTGTGAGCTATTTTTGCTTTATAAAAAGATAGTAATAGGAAAAGGGATGTTTCTAATAGGCTGCTGCCTGAAGTATGGTACTCGTAGAATTCTAGTATTTTAACAAGTCTGTAATGAAATATTTTAGAAAAATAAATCTGCCATAACTGAAGTCTGAAGTTGCCTATACATTCTTATTTAGAGGTATCTATCTGTGCAGCAGGCAACTTGAACTGCTCCAGTACTGGAAAATTTAATGTACCACTCAATTACTATTCTTTAGCCCAACTTAAAATAATAGATTAGGTGTAAGGTCTTAATGCAGTATAACCTTTGGAACATTAGAAATAACCTCTTTCCCTTCTGAAATCGGTATACAGTAATGGCATCAGTCTTACTGTTTTGCAGACGAACATACTCTAACTGCATTTAAAGTTCTTATATGTAGCAGTTGTTTGCCTCTCTTGCACTGTGAATTCCAAGACTATTTAATTTTTTTGTCAATTCATATTAAAAAAAATAATTTCAGTGAAACTGTCAAGTAGCTCAAAGTAAGAACCAAGTAAGAATTTTCTGATCAGAGTGTTTTCAATTAAGGTGGTAGATCCTATTCAGAAATTGCGAATTGTAGTTTTGAACTCTTATTTCACCAAAATTCTATGTTAGCTGGTCTTGGACATTTGCAAAAATATGAATCTTACTGTCATGAAATTTGGAATAAAAATGAAGGAAAGGTAGCAATAATGTTAAAGAAATCCATGTGCTTTTAAACTAGATAGACAGGATTTGAGAAAGGTGTATAGTTGGAAACAATTTCTGTATGAATATAGTAATACCGAAAACCCTGGCTTGTTTCAACATGATGTGCAGTGTAACCTGGCGGCAAGGATTCACAACCACACCTCAGAGGCTTGGATTGTGTTCTCAGTTGCTGTCACCTTATACTGTAAACATGAACATGTTGCTTCTGTGTGCCTCTATGTCCAAACCTCCTCTCTTTGTCTCATCAACTTGTAACACGTGGTTTTTGGGGCAAAATCACTGTCTTACAATTGTACAAATATTCTGCCTAACACAGTGGCCATATGGAACAGTTTTTAATTTCACTCTGCATTTCTCGCATGGCAGTTGTCTTTAAATAGTATTTTGTGTAACTTGTTATTGAACACAGACACATACAAGTATGCAAGCAGTCTGTGAATGTATTAATTTAAAATTCTTGATGTTTTTTCAGGTTCCAGTAGCCAGAGCCAGCATTCTGTGGCTCATTGGCGAGTACTGTGAGCGGGTTCCGAAGATTGCACCTGATGTTTTGAGAAAGACAGCCAAGAGTTTCACTAATGAAGACGACCTTGTGAAGTTGCAGATCTTAAACTTGGGTGCAAAACTGTATTTAACAAACTCAAAACAGGTAAACCTAAACTCAGAATTGTATGTATTAGAGTCATAGTAGGTTTTGTACAGTTTATGTAGATAAATAGTGATTTCTTCTGTATACGTAACCAAAACTAGTCCGTATTTTTGTATGAAGAAAAGCTGAAGAAACATCAGTTTTCAAGAAATCTAACAGACTAAATCTAACCATGAATCTTTAAGTATGCCAGATCATAAATGTGATTTTTTGTTTCTTTCTTTCTTTGGGAAACTCAATTTTTCAATTCACGTTAATGAGGAAGATTTGTAAATTGTATTAGTAATATCAGAGGGGAGATTTTCCAGATGTGATTTGCTGTTTTCTGAAACTAAGACCAGAATTGTCAAGGAAATACTGTCATTTTGAACAAGAAGCTGCTCATTTTTTTAATCAGGATATGTAAAAGGAGATACCAGTAAAAGGCCTTGTTTTATTTTTCCATCAGTGCTTGTTTTAAAGATAGTTACTGCATTCCCTTTTTCTATTTTTTAATATGTTTGTGTGTTTACTATTTCATTTTACCTAGTGGAGAAGTTGGCTTTTGATATCTCTAGTAGTAAAGATAATCTAAAAATGTCAGATAGTACAAAATGGTGAACTTAGATCTCCAGGCAGCTGAATAATGTCTGTGAGAGGTGCCAGCTGCCTTATTCTTCTCAGTGACAGCACTGTGAACTCCATCACTCTCTGGCTATGGAATATAATATTTTGACACTAATTTGTCACTGTAATTCCAGTTACTGCTTTAAAAGGTTCTAAAATCAAAGATTTCTTTTTTCCACATGTAGAAGAAATATATTGACTGAGACTTATACGCTTTTCTGGGCTGCTAGACCTCTTTGTTTTACAACAGTTTGCACAGCACCCAATCTCACATCTTCTCAACTGTGGTGTCTTCTTGTTCCTTGATAGCTATATCCAACTACAGATGTGATCTGAGACTTTAATTTGTAGGGTGTGTGGAAGATGAACTGTCTCACCATGCACTCAGATAGGAATGAGTGCTTTGCTTATACAGTGTAAAATGGGGCAGTAACAAAATCTTTCTGTCATTGCTCATCCTGCTGAAAATGCTGACTGAGATAAGGAAAGATTGGTTTGACTATCAAAACTGTCTTCTTTTAGCTCATTACAGAATATTTAATAATTTTCCATACAGTTTTTTTAATTTTCCGTGTAAATTTTTCCACACCATATTTGGTGAAAAATCCATCACCTACAAGGAGATGATGATTTCCGTGATGGTTTTTTTCCAGTTTCACATCTTAATACATTTTAAACCATATACGTGTTGCATAACCCTTTATTCAAATAAAGTACCACAGACATGGTGTTTCTTCTCAGACAACTGCAAGAGAAGTGTAGGGAACAGAACAAAGGTCTCTACTACGTAACCTTTGTTGACCTCACCAAGGCTTTCGATACTGTGAGCAGAGAAGGTCTATGGCAGATTTTGGAACGTTTAGGTTGTCCCCCCAAGTTCCTTAAAATGATCGTCTCACTCCATGAGGATCAACACGACCAAGTCAGATATGGCGACGCACTTTCTGAGCCCTTCCTAATAACTAATGGTGTGAAACAAGGCTGTGTTCTCGCACCAGCCCTATTCACAGTCTTTTTCAGCATGATGCTCCAAAAGGCCACGGCAGACCTCGAGGATCAGGATGGTATCTACCTTCGATACCATACTGATGGAAGCCTGTTCAACCTAAGGCGACTGAAGGCGCACACTAAGACCTTAAACCATCTTGTCCGGGAGCTGCTCTATGCTGATGATGCCGCCCTTGTTGCCCACACAGAAGCAGCCCTGCAGCATTTAACATCCTGCTTTGCAGATGCTGCTGAGCTCTTTGGGCTGAAAGTCAGCTTAAAGAAGACAGAAGTTCTCCGTCAACCAGCACCTCAGGAAGTCTTCCTTCATCTCCATATCACCATTGGCCAATCAGAGCTCAAATCAGTCCAGCAGTTTAATTACCTAGGTAGCCTCATCTCCTTGGATGGTAAGATTGATGGAGAGATAGACAATGGGTTAGTAAAGGCTTATAGTGCCTTTGGAAAGCTTCATAAAAGAGTTTGGCAAAATAAACACCTGAAGAAAAGTACAAAGATCAGTGTTTACAGACCCAGAGTGCTGTCTACTCTCTTATATGGATCTGAATCATGGGTTATCTACTGCCACCACCTGCAACTCCTAGAACGCTTCCATCAACATTGTCTCCGCACAGTCGTAAACATCCACTGGTCAGATTATGTGACCAATACATCTGTTCTAGAACAGGCAGCAGTCACAAGTACTGAGGCCATGTTACTGAGAACACAGCTACGTTGGGCAGGGCACGTCTCAAGGATGAAGGACCACCGCCTCCCTAAGATCTTGCTCTATGGTGAACTTGCCCACCAGCTGCTGCAAGAGAGGAGCCCCAAAGAGAAGATACAAGGACTCCCTGAAACAACATCTCAGCCTTGGCCATATTGATCATCATAACTGGTCTACTCTGGCCTCCAATCGGGAGGTCTGGAGACACACCATCA